TGAATATATATATTTATTACTAGTTGCAACCTTAGGGACAAAATCAAAGGATCACAGACTCTTAACTCAAGGCTTTCTTCTGCACTTTCTTATCCTTTTTATGTTTGAGGTCTTATTTTTATCAATAGCAGTTTCTTCATGAGACTTCCTACCGTATTCGGTTATTTTTCATTATGGTTTTTTTTTTTCTTTCTCTAGGTTTTCCATGATGATGATGCCATCCCTGGATGGGAAGGGAAAATTGTAGCCTGGGTGGAAGACGACCATGGAGAGAATTAATGCTGATTAGATTGGGGGCTTGTGGAACTGGGTCACTCCCTGGCTGCTTCACTCAGGAAAGGGGACTAAAAGCAGACTACACTAAGAAGTTTCTAGTTCGTGCTGCCAAAACAGAAGCTTCTCCAAGTGTGATGGCCACAGGCCAGTCCTGTTTCTGTGCCTGGCATATTTGGTACTTAAAATCCCTGTCCAAATGTAGACCATGGGTTCTTCTGGAGTTCCTTGTCCGTGGGAACACATTGTTTTGTTTTACTCTGAGGACAACAAACCGAAGGCCTTAACCAATGGGGATGGATGATCCCGCCCGTTTAGGGGCATGGCTGCTATTACCTGGAATCTGGGAATTGGATGCATCACTCCTGTGTGTTACAGTATTATTTTAATTGGCCTCAATGGTTGCAGCAATCAGAGTCCCAGCATTTGTACTCACAGACAAGGCAAAGGTACCAGCTTTTCTGCTTCCTTTCAGCTATTGCAAACCAAGAATAACTCATGATGTGGTACCAAAGATGAAGGCCCCGCCCTTCATTAATCTTTTGGACTGGACATGGATGGTGCTGAATTGTTGATTGGATGGAAAAAGGGCTGCCCATGTTGTGCTATATTATTCTCAAAACCATAATTAAGACCGTAGGCTGACTCTTGTGTCTTAACTGGTTCTGCAATTTGTCCTTTAGCCCACACAGGGCATATTTCATGTACTGCTAATTTTGTCTGGGGACTCTTTAGAGCCATTTTTTTTTTCTTCCAGCTGATGAACTTTGTGTTTGAAAGGAATAAGGAGTAGAAAGCTCCTTAAAAATCCAGGCGGGTATGGAAAGGTGCTGCTACCCACATCTTCTTGACTTTCTTTCTCTTGTGACTTTCTTTAGTCATTAGGCTCATGGCATCTCCTTTGCAGTTAAAAGGAGACAGACCATTGATTTAGTGTTTCTTTGTGATTTATGAGTATTGAGCATGAATTACTGGTCTGCCCCTCCTCATCTCAAGGCCAGGAGTTATTTTCTATTTTCTATTTAGTACAGACTGATCCTTTAGTGCACAATAGAAACCATGGGGCATGAGCATGAGTTGTGAATGGCAGGGTTGATTCTGGGTGAAAAAACCCAGAATCCTTTCTCATATGCAACATTGTCAAGTGTGAAAACTAAGAGTGAAACTTCCAGCAATTAGTAACCTAGGTTTTTTTGTTCACCCACTAAGCATCATCAACTAATCAGCCATTATTATATATGTATTCTCAAAAGCAGTCTGCCTCTGACCACCAGTGTACACTGCCAGCCACAAGAGTCGGACAGATCAGTTCTGGGTTCTTGACCTGTCTGTCTCCAGTTCATCTCCCCTTTTCAGCCATTTCAACAGACTACTCTTTGAGCTCCGAGATGACATCTTGTTGTTTTATATAGATGTGTCTTTTTAAATAGCTCATGTTTGGAGAATTCTTTTGTACTCATTTGCTTTTTGTCTGAGAACCATGTCTATTTTTATAACTTGAGTGTGAGTTCTGTATATTCTCACATTCTGTATACTGTATCCATTTTTTAGGGAATCCAGTAGCTTTTATACAGGCTCTTCTTACCACCCCTTGGGGTGTCAGAACAAGCTTTATTTTATTACAAGTGTACTGATGACAACGAGTTCCTGTTCTAATTCTACCTGCCAATTTTAGTTGTGGAGGTAATGTTATGTAATCCATATTATTGCTCCTTTAGTAGACTGAAGGAGCTCAAGAGACATCTTAGATTGTTTCATTTTAAGTTTACCTGATATTCTTATTATTGAAGAATTTCTCATCGGAAATGACTGGGAAAGTTAAGTCAAAAGCAAGAATAACTCGTGAAAGCAAACAAAAGAAAACAGTACATTCTCAGTTTATTTTCCCCAGGAAGTCTGGAGAAAAAGTCCTCATGTCACAAATTTCTTTATTGCATGTATTTTAGTGTTTTGCTATACAACAGCATGAGGATTATCAGGCCAAAATTTGTTATTGTATTTCCAATACAATTTATCTTGAATGTCTCCTAAACTCATTTTTACTTGGCAGTTTTCTTTCAGCAAACAGTCTTACTATTATGTGGAATTTATAACTTTTCAGAGAAAATTAAATCAGAGAAAATTTCAAGGTCATCTACCTTATTTGTCTTATATTATCTCTGTGTTCTTTGGAAAAGGAACTGCATGGTCTCAGTGCCTCCATCGAAAGCTGAAGCTGAGTTTAGGGGACAAAATGAGGTTTTTTTCCCTCTAGCTGGTTTAGCATGGGTTGTGACTAAGCATCCCTACTGTGTGATCTCTTGTGTAGAATGTGTTGGTGATCCTCATTCCAGTTTGTAAAGGGAGAGAAGCCTTCAGAGGAGGAGTGCTCATTACTTCATTGTTTTGAATAGTCTCCTATTTGGATACACTGTGTGGCCGCACTCTATGAGTCCTTGACTCATGCATAGTATTGCCCCCTAGAGGTATTTTGTGGAATAGTCTCTCCTGATACTACTGGCATTCTCTTTCCTTGAGAAAACTAAGGAACCAGAATGCTTAGAATTCATAAAATAAACTCTAAACCACTTTAGATTAAAAAATAAGTGACCCTCTCATATAAACTAGTTTAGTAGAGAACTCAATTCCTTAAAAAGTCTTCTTTAAAACTGATGACTATTCTTTTGCTCAGTTCCCTGAATTAGCTGGGATTGGAACACTTTACAGTTGGTGCCTAAAGAATCTGTGTTAAGTTCACTTTGTAATGGCAGTTATACTTACTTACCAACTTTACAGTTCTTTTTCACCAGGATGGATGTAAATTAGGGAAACTATCTCCATGCAGTAAGTACATCCAATCCAAGAGGACTCTTATTACTAAAAAGCACTTAGGTCATATTTATTTTCATTTTTTTCCCATAAAACAAGCATTATTATTGCACACTCCTCCTATGTCTGAATTTATGTAAAAGGTATAGCTTGCTTAAAATACATATATATGTAAAGTTATATTTTCTTAGAAACATGGATGTTTGCAACCATTGCTTTCAGAAATTTCAGTGTATTCTCCGTTTTATGATATGTTTTCATAAAGACTGTTGTATCAGAGGTTTCTGATTATCGAAGTCATAACCAGTTTTAACTGCCTGTATGTACCAGATTTGTGTACTAATTAAAAAAAAACTGAATAAAATGGAGTTTGCAAACTAAATGTCATTAGTCATCTTCACTTGCATTTATTGATGAAGATTAATCAATAAACCATTTACACTTAATGAAAGTAAATCTCAAGTGATCTCCTTGGTAGTATGTTTACTCTCTACTTGGAGAGTGAAGATAAGGATTACTTTATTGCCACAGATAATTTGCTATGTAAGCACAAAATAGGTTATACTATCAAAGAGAATTCATTGATTTAGTGCTTCGTTTGAAACTATATATAAATGTGCAAATAAATGAGAACCTGAAGGTGTAAACTATAAGACAAAAATCTCTAATGCAAAAGCAAGAAGCATTCATAAGAGACTCTCAGAAATGTGTATTTAAAAGAACCAGAATTCCCAAATCAGTTTGAAAGCTGTCCCCCCAAAACTTAGGCAGGCTTCATTTATCACTTCAATTTAAATGTTTGATGTATCTAAATCTTTAGCCCTGAGTGCCTTCATTTGACTTCTAATTTCCTGTTTTTAATTATTAATTATACCAACGATCATGAAGACGGTGAAGGACCGGGCAATGTCTAGTATTGTTATACATAAGGTCGCCATGAGTCAAAGCGGACATTGGACAGCAACTAACAATACTAAGCTCGGCGGATACTTTGAAGAACAATACAAGACATGGTGCCTGCCCTCACCAGCTTGTAGTTTTGGTATTAAGTATTTCAAACATAAAAACTTTTCGCTATTTAAACGGATTCTATGGTAAATTTTGGGTTAAAGCAAATCTGTTTCATAAACCTGTATCTTCATATGCTTAATCTTGCTGAAGTACACCTGAATATAGGAATGTATCTTCCACTCAACCGCTGTTCGCACCATCGGGCTGGAAGATCCGTTCATTCAGGTTGCCGGTTGTGCTACAAACCTGAAATTAAATCTTTGTAATAGGGTTGCTATGAGTCGGAATCGACTCGACCGCAATGGGTTTGGTTTTGGGTAACCCAGTAAGCCGGCGCAGGGCGGGGCCCAAAGACTGGTCACTGTTGCATCAGCAGAGACACAGGACCCATCACCTGAACACTCTGATCTTCCCTTGGCCGTTTCTTTGCGCCCTTCTCTACAGGAGCGCTCCAAGACCCCGCTCTTTGGCCTCAGGCTCTCCGTGCCCAGCCCTTCCACAAAACTCGCCCATTCCCCTCAGCCCAGCCTCTCCGACCACGATGCTTCTTACCGGCCCTTTCCACCTTTTCAGGCTCCTCCCTTCTGGCTGTGCCCTTCACACCTCCTAGGCCCCGTCCTAGCCTTTGGAATGCCTTTCCTCCTCGGACCCTACTGCCTTCGACCCCTCTTCACCTCCTGTTTCTTCCAAACTTCTGCCGTTGGCTTGGTTGGAACGTTCCCGTCCCTAAGGCCCCAAAGTAGCCGCCTCCACCTGACCTCTCCCCGACTCTCCCAGAAGAAAGCGCTAACGGTCTACACATTTCTAGCCTGGAGATGGGGTAGGATGAATCCTCGGGGGCCCGTTTTACGACAGCGTACGGCTGCGCGGCGTGGCTGACGGCAGCGTCGTGTTGCTCTTGGAGAGGTCACTCTGGAGAAGGCGTTGAGTTTGGGGTGTGGGGGTCTGTGGCATTATGTGGCGCGTCTGTGCTCAGCGGGCCCAGAGTGCAGCCCCAAGGGCGGGATCCGGGGCTCGGTGCGCGGCCTTAAGGGAGAGACTTGGAGCTCTGTGCGTGACCCTGCGATCTGGCCCGGCTCCGGCTCGTTGCGGTAGTACGACCACAGGGTATGGCGGGGTCCGGGCACTCTGCAGCTGGAGCCCCAACTGTTGGCCTACACCTCGGAACCGCTTCCTGCTGCAGCTTTTGGGATCACCTGGCCGCCGTTGTTATAGTCTCCCCCCTCATCAGAAGGTGAGCCCCCGACTCGTCCTTCGTGGACCCTGTTGTCCTTCGAGGCAGACTTGGCCTCGGAACCTCCCTCAGGCCTCAGTGATCTTCTACCCTCTCCCTTACAGTATCTGTCATTGCCCTTCCTACAGTACCCAGCTTTGCTGTTGCTCTTGAGCTTCCCTCTCCTGATCTATCCCATTAAAAGAAGAGCTCCAAGCTCGGGGCTATATGCGAAACGCCTGCTCTGTCAGACCCACGGGACTGTGGAGCAAGAAGCCTGTCACTGGAGAACATGAACTTCTGGTAGGCAGGAACTGTCATTGTATCCTCAGTGCCAGCGTGTAATGGGACTCAGTAAACTCTGCATTAGATGAAATTGGATTGAACGAAACGTTACACTGGACTGAGAATTAGGTCACCCTTTTTAAAGTTAGCGTTTCTCCTTTTTCTCCCCTAGGTTCCATTGCCTTCCCTTTCCCCTACAATGCAGGCAGGCACCATAGCCCGTTGGGAAAAGAAGGAAGGGGAAAAAATCAATGAGGGTGAACTAATTGCAGAGGTAAGTTATTTTAAAATATGGAGGTGAGGTCGAACGGACTGACTTAGCTAAACTGAGCGTTAGCTTTCTGGGTGGGTAGTTATCCACTTTGCTAAAGAAACTACTTTGGGATTTTTTTACACCTTAGTATTAGACAAGATTGGTTAGGTAAGTTGTCAGCAGCTTGTCAAACTGATTTTTAGCTAAGATTTCTTTTAATGGTTCCTTCTTTTAAATCTGTGATGGAGGCTTTGTCAGACTATTGAACTGTATGATTCTAGACATAAGCTAATGAACTTCATACTGGCTGCACAAACTTAAACTGTTTTTTGTGTTAAAAGGTTGAAACTGATAAAGCCACGGTTGGGTTTGAGAGCTTGGAGGAGTGTTATATGGCAAAGATACTTGTTGCTGAAGGTACCAGAGATGTTCCAGTTGGAGCAATCATCTGTATTACAGTTGAAAAGTGAGTGGTACACAGAATAATGTGGAACTTCAGTGCAGAGTGGAGTATTTTAACCCAGAATTGAGAAAGTAGGAGTTAAAAGCTTCTGAAAACTACTTCTCTGGGAGGTGAATCTTCTATATAAGCTCTTTGTATTTATGCGTTCTTTCTCTTCCTTAGGCCTGAGGATATTGAGGCCTTTAAAAATTATACTTTGGATTCCTCGGCAACAGCTACCCCACAAGCAGCCCCAGCCCCAGCCCCAGCGCCAGCACCAGCCCCTGCTGTTTCACCACCTACACCTGCTCAGGCTCCTGGTAGCTCATATCCCACTCACATGCAGGTGAGGCTCAGCCTCTGAGTGTTTGCTTTAGAGAATTTATTATTTGTTCATTATTTTTCATAGATGGCTGTCTGGTAACTGGTATTAAATGTGGCTAGCTCTTGTCATTTGGGAGTGAACAGAGATTTAAGCACGCAAACAACTTGTATTCCTAGTTGTTATTTCCATGTGTGTGAACTTGGACAGTTCCTTTAATCCTTCTGAGCCTCTGTAGTGTAGATGATAATGCTTGAACTTTTTATTCAAGAACATTATGTTACAAATTTTGAGGATGATTTGTACTTATCTCTATTTCCTGTATAAATAGAGTTTTATAGTAGGTCTCAAGTGCTGTCTGTTGAAAGTCCCCAGTTGGTGTTTTCCTTTGGTTTGTGGTGTTCTGTTTTCTAAGAGTGGGTGAAGTAGTCCAGTAGTGTTAATAAACCAGAAAACTGACAATAAAGAAATGTTAGAATAAATATATAATAGCATTGTAATAAAGCTGAAGACAGTAAATGGAATCACTGTTGAATCTATTAACAAAAAAAAATAAGTTTCTTAGATATTAGAGTTATTCCATGTGTATTTGTGTATTTTAGAGATTGGAAATGGGCGGGGAAAAAAAAAAAACAGCCATCCTTTTTTTAAAGGATTAAAACTAGAACTTTACCTTTGCTTAGTTTATTTGCAGAAATTTCTGTGTAAGAATTATTTTTTCATTTGCACATAATGGTCTACTCCGTGGTCGGTTATTAACAATCACATATGATGAAGGTTTGCCTGGTGTTCAGTTCACATGTTTATTTCATCCTGTTCAGCAAATTCTATCTCACGACATAAGACTTAGTTCATTTCTCACCATTTTATGTATGTGGCTTTGTGTGGAAGTGTTAGGATTGTGCCTTAATTATCCTTTAAGATTCTCTGTAGAGATTTTTGTCTTCACTAAATTTTAGAAGCAGTTTAAGAAAAAAATTTTTTTTTAATTAGAGTTCTGAGGCTTTACTTTTTTCCTTCTCTTTTCTGAGGCATCATCGATTGAAATGATTTTTTACTCAGCATAATTCTGTTGGTAATTAGATACAAAAGAGTAAGAAGACAGCAAGTGAAACCCACAATAACTGCCTATGCATCCAAATTTAGTGGACACACAAGCCATATAAATAGGAAAGCAATTTTTTATTTAGATCAGCCCATCTGATGTTCGGATATTGTTGGAGTGGAATTGTCTATTGTGATAACAGTTCTGAATGTTAGTTTTTTTTTTTTTAAATCTTGGAAAGGTATCTGGGAAGTTGGGAGAAATGCTGTTTTCTATGAGTGTAAAGACAGATGTCAGGTACAAAGCGCAGTAAAAATGTAACAACATGGTCTAGGCTAGATCATTGTGTGAAACTGATGAATTTCAATTTAATTTAAGTGTTAAAAAAGATAAAAAAGGAAGCTCTATTCTTATTTATTGAGGAATTAATACTGACTGCCTAGAAAGAAATCTTTCCCATCTCCTCATTGCTTTTGACTTTGGAGGGTGGGTTGGAGTATTGCTGATACTATAAAGCTTGTGATTTGAAGGATGATTAAATTGGTGGGAAGCTGTTGAGGCACTGAGCTCTTGCTGTTATGGGGGCATTGTGCAGATGGGAATTTGGATTGTCACAGACACTGTCATTCCATAAAATGATACAAGCTTGCCTGAGTGCCACTGCATCCAAGGTTTCTTAGACTGAAGCAATGACATGTATTTTTTATAGGTGCTTCTTCCTGCGCTCTCTCCCACCATGACCATGGGCACAGTTCAGAGATGGGAAAAAAAAGTGGGTGAGAAGCTAAATGAAGGAGACTTACTGGCAGAGATAGAGACTGACAAGGCCACTATAGGTGAGATTTCTTCAGCTCTTACTGAATAGTTGAGGCACTGAGTTTTCCAATGAGGGAAGAGGATTGCCATCTTAACTTACAATGAGTGAGTGGTAACATGAAAACTTTGTAATTATTGGAACTCATTTCCTGGGACAGGATATTTTATAGCAAAAAAATTCAGTCGGATTTGTCATTTCCATACCATACTCAATGAATGAAGGATATGTCAACTCAGAGATTATTCTTAGGCCAGAGTTTGCTACTTAGACTAATTGAGAAACTATGTCAGGATTGCCATTCTCTAAACCGAGAGAGGAAAGGAAAGAGGAAGCAGAAGAAGATACCCTTCAAGGCAGCAAAATACCAAAGAATCTAAGATGACTGTGAGGGAAAACTGAAACCGGGGTGTAGCTTGTTTTCATAGTTTCATATATCTGTGGAGTCCTGGTGGTGCAGTGGTTAAGAGCTCGGCTGCTAACCAAAAGGTTGGCAGTTTGAATCCACTGGACGTTCTTTGGAAACCCTATGGGGGCAGTTCTACTCTGTCCTATAGGGTCACTATGAGTTGGAATCGATTCGATAGCAATAGGTTTTCTGTGTTTGTATATAGAAAATAAATAGTATGTATACCTGTTCAGCGAGCAAATCACATTTCCATGTACCCCCTTTCTGATTCATTTGTACTCATAAACAAAATCCACACAGTTGTATATTTTTAACATTTATAGATATTCTGTATTTCTTTCCTCTGCCCCATAATCACTACTAAAGGGAGGTCTGTTCATTCCCCAAAGTTGAAGTGTGAGATTGCTGGACATTCTCTGTGATGACTGTTTTCAGATTGCACTCTTTATACCTTATGATTCCTTGATGGTGTTTTGGGGTGAGGAGGAATTAAAGAGAAGGGCTCTGTTCTGTCTACCCACCCTTCCATCCTGACTTTCACCAGAGCAAGTCCTTTTTATCTTTTTGCATATTGTGCTTCCCCATAAGATTTTCTTAGAAGAAAGGATTCTGTTTCTTTAAAAAAACATGGAAATGATAGATTTATTTTGCAGTTTAATTTGAAAGTCAGTGTCACTGAACTATATTTGAACTCTCTTGTTCCCCTGGGGCCTATTTTTTTTCTTTTTAAACTTGTCTTTTATTGTATTTTAATTCTCTACTTGGAAATGGAAGGATTCATTAAGGATTATGTTCAAGGAGAAGTGCAGTGGCATAAAAAGCTAAGATCAGGAAGGCAAAGCTTATGCTCAGATGGCTTGCTTCTTTTAGTTGTATTTTTGCAGCCTTTCATGTTTGAGTTCATAGTACGAAAAACAGCTGAATGAAACATAAGATGTCAGTACCATAGAAACCCTAGTAATGCTATATTTCTTCACATTGAAATATTTGGTATATTTATACCAAGTATAAAAAAACCAAAACCAAACCCGTTGCCATTGAGTCGATTCCAACTCATAGCAACCCTATAGGACAGAGTAGAACTGCCCCATAGCGTTTCCAAGAAGCAGCTGGTGGATTCGAGCTGCCAACCGTTTGGTTAGCAGCCAGTCTCTTAACCACTGTGCCACCAGGGCTTCAATATCAAGTGTAATCTCTTTGAAATCTTCCAAAAGTGCTTTTAGGAGTAAAACCCACATCACTGCCCAGCTTAGGGTAGCACCTTTAATTTGACATCCATGAGGTTTTGATTTTAGCATTTATAACTGATGCCATCTTAGTCCTATGGGTCTGTAGGGGAGCTGCGCTTGGGAGTGTTTTTAAGAAGAACTTTCAGAACTCACCATTGTCTGTAATCTCTCTTAGTTTTATCTGGTACAAAGTAAATACTAAATAACAAATACTTATTTAGTATTTACTTTGTACCAGGTACTGTTCTAAGTACTCAAAAAATGTTAATTCATTTAATCTTCATAACATCCCTGTGAGGTACTATTATTATCCTCATTTTTATAGGTAAAGAAACTGAGACACAGAGGGGTTAGGTAACTTGCGAAAGGGTTATATAGCTAGTTCAAAGGAAGAGAGCCTATTATTTAAAACTTTTGAGTTTGGAGGGATTGTGGAGTCCTAATTTAAGTATTGTAATGGTTTTTCTCTCTAAGGTTTTGAAGTACAGGAAGAAGGTTACCTGGCAAAAATCCTGATTCCTGAAGGCACGAGAGATGTCCCTCTAGGAACCCCACTCTGTATCATTGTAGAAAAAGAGGCAGATATACCAGCATTTGCTGACTACAGGCCAACTGAAGTAACTGATTTAAAACCCCAAGCACCACCACCTACCCCACCCTCGGTAGGTATGCTTCTGAAATTGAAGGAGCAGTCTTATTTGTCTCCAAGTGGAAGGGGTGAAAAGATGATATCCCATGTTCCTTTAGGCTCTAAGAGTCTATGAACAAGGAAAGAGATAGTCAGTTAACATTTATGGAGACCAAAGGCAATGTGTTTGGTTTTTTTTGCTTTTATAGGGTATACAGGGCCCTGGTAGCGCAGTGGTTAAGCTTTTGGCTGCTAATTAATAGGTTGGCAGTTTGAATTCACCAGCTACTCCTTGGAAACTCTACGGGGCGGTTTTTCTCTGTCCTACATGGTCACTATGAGTTGGAATTGACTCGATGGTGATCGGTTTTGGTTTTATAGGGTATGTAGGGAGCCCTGGTGGCATAGTGGTTAAGTACTCAGCTGCTAACCAAAAGGTTGGCAGTTTGAACCCACCAGCTGCTCCATGGGAGAAAGGTGTGGCAGTCTGCTTCTGTAAAGATTACAGTTTTGGAAACCCCATGGAGCAGTTCTATTCTTTCCTATAGGGTCACTATGAGTCGGAAATCAACTTGACAGTAGCGAGTTTGCTTTTGGTTTTTTTTTTGGTTCTCTTTCTGCTTTAGATGCAGATCTCGTGGTTATCCATGATTCATTCCCCATTTTCTATAAAATTTACTATATAGTCTCTGCTACTGTGAGCCCTCTTGGTGTTTATATATTATGCTACATCAAGCATTTATTTGTTATTCATCACAATGACATAACATGACTTGTTTTGACATTAAATTAAATATATTATTGTGAATGATTTCACCTATTTCACATGAATTTGTATGAACTCAAGCATAGATTAACATTAAAACAAGGCTTCTGTAGATGCTTGAGTCGTGAGTTTAGATTAGGTACTCATTTCAGAGAAAACTTGATTTCTGACTGCCATACGTTCATAGGGAGCTAGCAAGTAGCAGTATTGATTTATTTCTTAAGATTCTTTTCAACATGGAGTGTTCCAGCATAATTTTGGATTCTGAAATTAGATTTTAAAAAAATGTTGGAGATGTAAGAGAATGAGAGTAAAGAAACGGCAAGTGAAGAAAGGCTGTAAACAGGTCAGCAGTATTATATTCCACGCCTCTTTATGTTATCATGCAATAAGATAACTTGGCTTTTTTCTGCCTTTGACAAAGTATTGTTTTGCTATTCATATTGCTTTGTTATGTTGATTAAGCAGAAAACAAAACTACATTATGATCTTTGGATAAAAGATGAAAATTATTTAATTAAAACAGCTTTTGACTTCTTATTAAACGTAAACTCTCGGTTGTTCAGACCAGTCTTTGCAATGGTGAATTAAAAATCTGTAACTTTTTTCAAAAGGTGGCCACTGTTCCTCCAACTCCCCAACCTGTAGCCCCTATGCCTTCAGTTGCCCGCCCAGCTACGCCTGCTGGACCGAAGGGAAGGGTGTTTGTTAGCCCGCTTGCAAAGAAATTGGCAGCAGAAAAAGGGATTGATCTTGCGCAAGTAAAAGGTAAGTCTTTTTCTGTGGAATGGGGTTGTAAAGTTATAGTTGAATTTCCTCCAGACCAGCAAGTACGACTATAGTCTTCGTAACTGGCACAGTGGGGAGAAGAGTGAGGGAGGGCAATGTCTCCATTGCTGCCACTATATAGTAGGGTAAATATTATTCTGCTTTATTTAGTCTGCATAGTGTTTACCCATACAATTTTGATACCTTTTTTCATTCTGCCATATTCATATGAACCATGCTTAATTGTTGGTGATGGCTGAAAGTGTAACGTGCTTGTTCAGGAAGGGTGGGTTATAGGACCTGATTGCGTAATAAGAAGAAATCTCTGTTAGTACTAGGTTGACTGGCTAGCAATAAGCAAGAAACAAACCAATATAAAACATGAAGTTGGGTTGATCTGAAGTGACTTAAGAGAATAAAATTCATGTAAAACTGAACTAACACTCCTTGAGGGCAAGGGAAGATGTTTAACTCATCTTTCCTCCCCAAAAGAAAGTATAGCTTAGTGATAGGAGCACAGGGTTTGGAATGGGACCACCTAAGGTTAAATCCTGACTTTATCATTTTTTCTGTATATGTCGTTATGTGAATTACTTAGCCTATCTGTTTTCCCATCTGTAAAATGGGGTAATAATTAGTGTCTATTACATAGAATTCTGAGAAATAAATGAGCTGAAACAAGCAAAATGTTTAGAACAGTATCTAGCATATAATTAATACATGTTGTTCATATTATTGAACTAAAGCTAAAATCTAATATAAGGTAATTAAGATATTTATTTTGGAAAGGGGGGAATTATTATTACTGAAACCTGGTTTGATGACTGGTACTATGTGCTGATTATCAGGAATAATAATTTCCCCCTTTATGACATTTAACTTACCACATTTAATTGCACACCATGGGTTTGGGTTTGGTTTTTTTGTCTTTGAGGTAAAAATTATTTCTGCAATTTTTTGGATAATAAAACTGAGACTTTTAAGAGGCCTCCCTTCCTATTAAGTAATAAAGTTGAGATTTTAATCTAGATTAGTTTAACTCGAAAGCCTGTATTCTACTTAGTACTCTGTGCCGCCTTCTGTTTTGATGTTCTGCCATCCTTAATTGCTAAAGGAAAATCTGGTTATTTCCTTAATTACCCAGTTATAGGCACTCAGTGCTGGTTATCATCTGTCTGTGATCTACGTTTTCTGGTTAGAAGGCAAGCTAATCCCAAAACACAACTATAGAATGTTGTGGATTTTTTTGGACCTCAGAGAATTACTGATAATATTGCAAGACGTGGTCTTACATCTTAATGTTATTTTACTATTATTGCCATTCTTTATGTGATTAGAATCAGGGACAGCAATGTGAGGGTTAAATATGGTTATATATTTTCAGGGAAAGAGGGACTTGGTTAACAATTACATCTCAAGAATTTAGACAAATAAAGAAGGACCGTTTATTAGATGTTTAGCAACACTGGCTAATTTGCTAAAGATACCAATGGAAAAATTCCAATATTTTTATTATACAGGCATAGTTAGCTGATTTATTATTTCATCAGATATTTATTGAGTACTGTCTATGCATCAGACACCTGTTCGTAAGAAGAATAAAACAGACAAGATTTCAGTTGTCAAGTTGCTTATATAACCAGTGATAAATAATTAAATGAACAGAAAGGGAGTATAGCATAGTAATTAAGGGTTTGGGCTCTGGAGCTGGCCTGCTTGGATTTGAATCCCAGCTCTTCCATATACTAGCTATATGACTTTGGGCAAGTCATCTTAATTTTTTGTGTTTGTTTATTCATTTGTGTCTAAAAATAATACCTCAAAGGATTTTGAGGATTAAATGTTTATATATAAACAGTATCTGGAGAAAGCATATATAGGTATTAGTTATAATGATAATAATTTATGATTAAAAAAGATAATTTTAAGTGTTAAGAAACTGAGTAATACACTAGTGAGTGATAATGTGGATAAACATGCAGACATGATTGCTTTTAGACAGGGTGGTTGGAGAAGATCTTTCTGATGAGATGACATTTGATTGGACCTGAAAGATGAGAGGTGTGAGCTGAGAGCCACATGAAGAACTAGGGAAAGAGTATTTTGGGCAGAAAGACCAGCAGTTCATAGTCTGAAGTGGGGAAAAGCTTGGCATGTTTAAGCAACATAAAGGAAGCCAGTGAACAAAGTGGAGCATAGTGAACAGAGGATCTAGTGGTGGGAGATGAGGTTGGAGAGAAACGGGTGAAAACATAGAGAACTTTATACCAAACGCATTGGCATCGAGTCGATTCCGATGTGTAGCGACTCTATAGGATAAAGTAGAACTGCCCCAGAAGGTTTCCAAGGCTGTAATCTTTACGGAAGCAGACTGCCACATCTTTCTTCTCTGGAGCGGCTGGTGAGTTTGAACTGCCGACCTTTTTGTTAGCAGCCGAGTGCTTAAAACCACTGTGCCACCAGGGATGCTTAAGATCCTTATAGGTCATGATAGTTTTAATTTTATTTAACATGTAGTAGGGAGCTGTTCGGAGCCCTGGTAGTGAAGTGGTTAAGAACTTGGCTGCTAACCAGAAGGCTGGCAGTTCAAATCTACCAGCCACTCCTTGGAAACCTTATGAGGCAGTTCTACTCTGTCCTTCAGGGTAGCTATGAGTTGGAATCGACTCGATGGCAATGGGTTTGATATAAAGTCCTCTATGTTTTCACCCTTCTTTCTCTCCAACCTCATCTCCCACCACTGGATCCTTTAGGAAGCCATTTAAGGATTTAAGCAAGAAGTGACATAAAATGATTGGTGTTTTTTAAAGATCATTTTGGTTGCTCTGTGGAAATGGATTAAATGAACCAAGGTGCCGGTTAAGATGCTGTTGCTAGAGCAGATGATGATAGCTTAGACTAGGGTGGTAAAAATGGAAATGGAAAGAAATGGACAGATGCAGTATGCAGCAGAACTTAGCCAAGTATTGGATATGGGTACTTGACAACAGTAATTTCAGAAGAAAGGTGGGGTGGAAGTCTGTATAGGTTGAAAAGTGGATGAAGTGGAGATAGCATTATGGACAATTCATTCAAGAAGCTGTACTATGAAGGGAGGCACAGAAATAGGGGTATAGCTTTTTGGGAGTGTGGATTCAAGAGAGGACTTTTAAGATGAGTGATAGTAGAATGAGCCTAGTACAGAGTTTCTCAACCATGACACTACTGACATTTTGGGCTAGATAATTCTTTGTGTGGGGTGGAGGAGGGGAGTGCCCTATGCATTGTAGGATGTTTAGCAACATCTCTGGCCTCTATCCACTAAATGGCATTAGCACTGCCCTTTTCCCTGCCCCAGTTGTGACAACCAAAATGTCTTCAGATATTGCCATGTCCCCTGGAGAAGGAGGGATTGCCGTAGTTGCGAACCACTGGTCCAGTAGAAAGGGATAAGTTGATGATGCAGAAAGGGAGAAAGGACAGAATAATTGGCAAGGAGCAAAGTTCTTGAGAAATGTAAGAGGGGATGGGATTGGCCTTTGATAGGAAGTAGGAACATTTAACTATTTTAACAGGAGGGAGAAGAATCTGGGATGGGTTTATAGGTTTGGTGGTAGAAGATGAGAGTTACTTTTTGCTTCTATTTGATCAATAAAGCATGAAATGAGAGTATCACCTGGAGAGTGAGTGTGGGGAGGTTTGAGGTTAGAGAGGTTATTAAGTAGTCATCTCAGAGAGTGAAAAGTGAACTTAAGTGAAACATAGTTGAATTTCTGGGCAGTTTTGTGTGTCCATTTTAGGTTTATGACTGTGAATTTATAGTATACTCAGGCAGTCCAGGTGTGTAATTTTTTTCTTCCAGCAACATTAAACTAAAGTGTTGGCTTGGAAAAGACAAAAGTTGTTTTAGAGTTTTACAAGGGAGTGATTATAATGGTCATCTATGGAATCTAAGCTGGGTAAGGAGGGAAGTGAAGACAAGAGGGAGAGAATGGGTAGTAGGAGTACAAGGGTCAGTGGAGTTTAGGTCTTGATCAAGTTGGAGAGTTTTTGGCAGTGGGGAAAGGGACAGTCTAGAATAATGAGCTGAAAGGATCAGTGATGGCAGCAAGAGAGGGTTGCTTGAAATCTGTATTTCAGGATGTGTGGTTACTGGAGATAACAAGGTCTAGAATTTAACCCTAGAAGCTGAGAGGGCTCTTGCGAGGTGGGAGGGAAAAGTTAAAGATGAGTAGGTGAAAAAACCTAGAAGCCTAGGTGTTGGATAGGTTTTGGTCCCAAGGACAGTGGGCTGGGATCCAAGTTAATCTGAATGAAGAGTTGTAATTATGACTTAGTAGATGAGAAGATAGCAGAGAGGGAAGTAGGTTATATAGCTAGATGGCATGAACTTCAAAGGGAGTTGAGGTTTTTGAAAGGAGGAGAGGGAGAAATGATTTGGAAGTGGTTATGGGGAGCAAAGAGGACACCTACCCCATGACCCTGAGGAATTTGAGATGTGAGATAAAAAAAATCAATTAGGGAAGTGCCAAGGGGAAAGTTGAATAGAGGGTCAGATTATTTAACAAATTTGACCAAAATGTTACTTATTTAGGGAGAAATTGTGTTAAGGCCTAAATCCTGATGTTCAAGGTTTGCTTTTGTCTTAGAGCTACCCATATAATATTTTGTATTTCTGTAGTCCAAAGCACTTTCACATCACTATCCCATCTTATCCTCACGGTAATCCTGTGAGCAGGGGCTGATACTATAATCCCCATCCTACAGATAAGGAGACTGAAGACCAGATGAAGTGACTAGGGTCATGTGTCTAGTTTATGTTTGACAAGGATCCTACATTTTTGACTCCTTGTCCAGTGTTGCTTTATACTATATTCCTTTTCAGTGGCCTGTTGTACATCTTTGGGGAAATAGGCAAAAGGATTTCAACTAACTCCTAATACTAGTTTTAAGTAACTCCTAGTACTCAGGAAATTCTTGTGGGTGGCTGAGGCTTGTTGTGCTACAGGTTTCCTCCTCTTGAGGGGCTGCAGTGGTCAGGCTCGCCTTGGCTATAAGGGGAGGTTATGGTTTCTGTCTTTTATAAAGGAGGGGAATCTAACAGGGGAATACTGCCACCTCTGTTCTAGAGCTCCTGGTGAGGATAAACACAATCCTAGCTAACTCCTCAGTTTTCATAATGAAGGAAAGGAGTTGGGAAGAACTGCACACAACGAGAGTCCTTTTAAAAGTCTGCCTTGGGGGAAGATGAATCAATTTGACCAAATTTATTCTAGAAGTGGGCCAGTGTAAAAGGTATTCTAATAACTTAATTCTGGATCTTCTTAGAATTAAGGTTCAGGATTGTCTACTTGGGTCTAAAAATTAATCTTAAGAGGTTGGGATGGGAGGAGGGAATAAAATTGAATAAATAAAATTAAGCATATTGAGAGAACTCTGAACACCCAGTATATGGCATTGCATCTATTTCCTTGTCTCTAACACAGGCCAATTTAGAGTCTGGGCTACTGTCAGAAAGCTGAGAGTGGTGGAGACCACATAAGGATTGAGTGGCTCCAAAGATGAGATAATTGCAATTAAAAATTACATGTGCTACTTAACTGTCCTCTTGGGACCAAAATTCAAAAAGCTGACTTGCCCAATTTGTCTAAAACAGTTGTTATCACATCTGTTGATTCTGTGTGAAGGGAATTCTTTATGGCCAGTTGAATCTGGAACCCAAATGAGAACTATCAGCGTTCCAAAAGAGTCATTTGGAGCCAACCAGGAGAAGATAGCTAATCTTCCTTTTGGAGTTATAAACTGTACTCAGCATTATCCTTAAGTTGGTATTTCTCAATATAAAAGTAAACAAGATGAAATCAAGTACAATTTAATTAAATGAAACTAAAAGAGAAATAGATAAAATAATATTTGCTATAGTTAAAAAGAACTACAACAGATCAAGCAAAGTGGTCTGTATAAATTAAAATTAATATTTGACAAAAGCTGGTGTTCTTTTTCAGGGCAGACTTTAAGGGGCAAGACTGAAGGCTGTGTGTGATCCCTTCAGAGTGTTTCTGATAGAAATCCCTTTGGATTACACTTACACTGTTTATCTTTTTGGGGAACCAACCGTATGCCCTCATATATGGTTGTATCTTTATCTGTTCCAGGGACAGGACCAGATGGCAGAATCATCAAGAAAGACATTGACTCTTTTGTGCCTACCAAAGCTGCTCCTGTGAGTTACATTTGACTCTTTTTCTTTTTGTAGTTTGTTTCTTTCAAAGTGCTTTGTCTAGCCAGTTAGACTGTTTCATAAGTTATTTGTGCTTAACCCAGAGTAGGCTTGCTTTTGTCTAATTTCAGGAGCTTAGTGGTGTTTAAGTATAAATATGCTGTCATTTTTATACAAAATCAAAGATGACATACTTGGTACTACATTGACATGCATTCCAAATTGTTTTTTTTTTAGTAGTAATACTGAATATTTACAACTATATCCTCTCCTCATTCAGCCCCTAGTTTTAAAAGCTTGTTTGCAAGTTGATTGATTGGGGTTTGAGGTTTATGTGGTTAATTAGTCCACACAGGAATTAAATCCATATAGCCAACTTCTGTTTGATTGGTTCAGGTGCTAAGATAATCAACTAAAAGTAAGGCGAATGATTCAGTTTAGATGTTTCATTTTAAAATGAAAGAGTCCTCATTGTGTTTTTTTTTAAAAATAATGTTCTTTAGATGAAGGTTTACAGAACAAACGAGTTTCTGATTAAACAATTAGTACACATATTGTTTTGTGACATTGCTTACCAGCCCCATGACATGTCAACACTTTCCCTTCTCGACCTTGAGTTCCCTATTACCAGCTTATCTGTCCCCTCCTGTCTTCTAGTCCTTGCCCCTGAGTTGGTGTGACCCTTTAGCCTCGTTTTGTTTTATGGACCTGTCTAATCTTTGGCTGAAGGGTGAACCTCAGGAGTGACTTCATTACTGAGGTAAAAGGGTGTCCGGGGGCCAAACTCTCAGGGTTTCTCCTATCTCTTTCAGACCAGTAAGTCTGGTCTTTTTTTGTGAGTTAGAATTTTGTTCTACATTTTTCTCCAGCTCTGTCTGGGATCCTCTATTGTGATCCCTGTCAGAGCAGTCAGTGATGATAGCTGGGCACCATCTAGTTACGCTGGGCTGAGTCTTGTGGAGGCTGTGGTAGTTGTGGTCCGTTAGTCCTTTGAACTAATCTTTCCCTTGTGTCTTTGGTTTTCTTCATTCTCCCTTGCTCCCGATGGGGTGAGACCAGCGGAGTATCTTAAATGGCTGCTCACAAGCTTTTAAGAATCCAGACACTACTCACCAAAGTAGAATGTAGAACATTTTCTTTATAAACCATATCATGCCAGTTGGGCTAGATGTTCCCCGAGACCATGGTCCCCACAGCCCTTAGCCCAGTAATTTGGTCTCTCAGGGAGTTTAGATGTATCTGTGGAGCTTCCATGATGTGTTTTCTTCTTAACACTGTTCAGGATAACCTGTTTATATTTATTTCTTAATCCTTTCAATTTAAGAATACTTTGATTGCTTTCCTTGAAAATAGCTTTGCAAAAACAACTATTTTGACATAAACTAGTCATTGAAATGTACTCTGACTCAAGGAAGAATAACACAAAACATGATTTCAGAATTCTAATAAAAGAAAGAATAAAACTCAAACAAGTCTCTTGCTCCCTGGGGATAGAAATAACTATTCTTTTGTAATACTTTTGATTTTTACTTTGCTACATGTAGAAGAGTTACTGGCAGTCTTTCCGAGGTGCTCATGCTAAGACTGAGCCACAGTTACTAAAAGCATTTGTTTTGTTTTTTCCCCCATAGGCCCCAGCAGCTGCTGTGTCTCCCCCAGCTCCAGGAGTGGCACCAGTTCCTACAGGTGTCTTCACAGATATCCCAATCAGCAATATTCGCCGAGTAAGAGCATTACCAAAACTGTTGGGGGCACTTTTACATAGATTAATTGCATGGTTTAAAAACCCTAACAGAGGCTTCTTTCAGTTGGGAATCTTGGATGCTTAGTTTCAGGGATGTTGGATTTGGTCATTGAGGATAAACAAATCAGTATGTTCTGGTTAAATACTACTGGAAGGTGCTAAATTATGATATAATCCTCCATCTACCAATTATAATAATGCTTGAGGCAAGCATTATTGGAGAGTGGGGTGAAGGGGGCAGGCTGAGCCTTGAATTAGGCAAGATCTCAAGTCAAGATAATTGGTTTTTGAATCTCTTTGGTTTCAGGTTATTGCACAGCGGTTAATGCAATCTAAGCAAACCATACCTCATTATTATCTTTCTATTGATGTAAATATGGGAGAAGTTTTGTCAGTGCGGAAGGAACTTAATAAGGTAAAAAGTCTGGAAATTCCATCTCTCTAGATACTAAAAAGTTTATCTTTCCCCACTAAGGATTTACCTTTTTGCCCATAAAATTTGTTAAAATATGCCAGTTGCAGAGAACATCCGGGAGAATTTTCATTTGCTAGCCTCGATTACCACTTATCAAAGTTGACTTTGCCATGGATAGATTTTAGTCTAGGAGAGTCACTGATGCAGAGGCTACTTGAGTCTCTTTTGGCAGGTGAGAAACTATATTTGCTTTGTGTTTATAGTCAAGTATCAAGCACTTAGAGTTTATTTTAAGGCACTTTTGGGAACACAGTATAAGGCATAATCTTCTCCATGAGTTTATAATCTAATTGGGGAGATAATACATGTGAAAAAGAGAGAGGTCAACTTTTATTAAAGTAAAAATATTTGTAGATTGGTCTCTATGGTAATGCCTCTTGATTTTCTGCTAAGTTATATTGCATAAGGTTAAATGTTAGAAGAATTCAGAGAACCGGGAAATCATCAGAATTCGTGATGGTATAGGAAAAACTTGGTTGAACCATGAGAATAGGGAGGGTTTGCATTGGCAAGGAAGTTGAAATAAGGTCATTCTAAAGATAGACTATCATAAGGGTAAAATACTTAAGGAGTTCCTGGGTGGCGTAAACGGTTAAGTGCTTGGCTACTAACCGAAAGGTTGGAGCCCACCCGAAGGCTCCTCAGAAAAAAGCCCTGGTGATCTACTTCCAAAAGATTACAGCCATTGAAAACCCTATGGGACTCAGATCTACTCTGAAACACATGGGTTTGCCATGAGTCTGAATCAACTCGAGAGTAACTGGTTTTTTTAAAGTTCTTAAAAATGGAAGTAAAATTAGCACATGTGGAAAATAGGAGATTACTTTTTCTAGAGTGGATACACAGTCAGTTTAGGGAAGACCTTGGACTACAAGCAGAAGAATTTGGACTTGAGTTAGATAGTAAATAAGAAACCATTACATATTTTTGATCAGTAAAGTGACGTGATGATAACAATATTTTAAGAAAGATCAGTCTGATTGATGTATGCTGGCACATGTTGGTGGCAGAGGCTACTTATATTTGTCATTGTAATCCAAGCCTGAAGTGATGGTAAGAAGGGTCTGAACTAGAGGGTGGCATTACAGATGGAGTGGGAGAGAGTGATATGAAGTATTTTCAAGGCAATGGAAAGTAAAAGCCAAAGTCCTTAGAGTGGCATATAAAGCTTTACACAGTTTGGCTCCTCTGTAACCTCACTGACCCTCTCTGCTGCTACTGTTCCACTTGCTCACTCTTTCCAGACACATTGGTTGTTCGACACTCAGATACACTCCTACCTCAGGCCCTTTGCACTTGCTATTCCCTCTTTGTGGAATACTCTTTCCTGCTTCCTTTTTCAAGGTTATATAATTTCATTTTTTGTGGAGAGAAATTAAGAAACCTACAATGTTTTCTTGTCTTTGCAGACATTAGAAGGGAGTGGCAAAATATCTGTCAATGACTTCATCATAAAAGCTTCAGCTTTGGCATGTTTAAAAGTTCCTGAAGCAAATTCTTCTTGGCTGGACACAGTTATAAGACAGTAAGTGTAACACTACTAGGGAAGGTATATATATATCAGTAATTTTCTTGTTCTATCTAACATATGACTAGTAGTGAGGGAGGTGGTAAGGAGAGATAGAAGACATTTCTCTGGTGTGGGGGAGATAACGTCCATAGGTGACAGTGTGAAAACCATACAAAACTGTTTGTGAGATGGTGCTAAATGTAGTTAATAAAGACTACAAATTCTTTGTGTGAGTTTAGAAAAGGGACATCAGTGTACAAATATATATAATTAAGCTGATACTCTCTCACAAAGCAGGGTTGAAATAGGTGTTTTTTACTCAACAGTGACTTGTGCTGAACTTTAGGGTACAAAATTAAAAACAGAAAGGAAAAAAAAAATCCGGTATTTAATATTATATGACTGACCTGTTGCTTAGCATGTTTTGCATATGATCTCATTTTATCCTCATGACAACCTTATGAAGTGTAAGTGTTTTCACTCACATTTTATAGATGAAGAAGCTGAGGCTCAGTGAGTTAAGTAACTTGCCCTGAGTTAGTCAGAACTGGGATAGCAATCAGGATTGTGACTCTAAAGCTTAGGGTTTTTCTATATGTGGATTCTTTATTATTATTATTATTATTAATTTTTATCAAAATAATAGTATGTAGTTTGAAATTTTGCTACATGGCTTGCAATGAACCTACCCTGACCCTTAATCTGAGTCCCACTCCCAAGAGGCAAACACAACTTTTAAACTATTGTTTCCTCTGGTATTTACCTTTATATTTCTAAATAACATTTATCCTTTATGGAGTTTTCAGTTCTTTTACTTTATTGACTGACTTCTATTGAAGAAAGTTAAGATTTTCCTGTTATACCCTCCCTGCACACACACTTGCCCATACTCTCACGCTCATCCTGCCATCCTCCCAAAATGAGTGTGGCATAAATTTTGGTTAAATTTGTATTCATTGTTAGTATTTTTATGCCTGTGAAAATATTGTTCATGCCTAAACCACGTAGTGTACCATGAATACTATCCTATTTTAACAACTGACTAAAGAGGGGCTAGTTCCTATATAAACCTGTTGCCATTGAGTTGATTCTGACTCATAGCAAAACTGTGGGACAGAGTAGAACTGTCCTGTAGGGTTTCCAAGGAGCAGCTGGTGGATTCCAGCTACCTACCTTTTGGTTAGCAGCTGAGCTCTTAACCACTGTGCCACCAGGGCTCTAGTTCCTATATATTCATCATGGATTCTTTTCAAACTCTTAAAGAGAACGAAAACATTTCTCAGTTCTGGTTAAACATACCAGGTAATCTATTAGTTCTAATATTTTTCCTTGGTCACTCCACTCTTTGAGAACATCTGAGGGTCTAACTATTCCTTATATACGGTATTAGTTTCCTAGGGCAGGTGTAACAAATAACTACAGATTTGGTGGCATAAGACAACAGATAGTTATTCGCTCACAGTTTTGGAGGCCAGAGTCTGGATCAAGGTGTCAGCAGGGTCTTGCTCTCCCCGCTGCCCAAGGCTCTAGGGGAGAATTTTTCCTTGTGTTCCCTAACTTCTGGTGGATCCAGGTGTTCCTTGGCTTGTGGCTGCATAACTCCAATCTCTGCCTTTGCCTTCACATTCTCTTCTCTTTCTCTTCCTCTGTGTCTGTGTCTTTTCTGTCTCTTACAAGGATACTTGTCATTGGATTTAGGACCCGTTTGGGGTCAAGGATATCTCATCTCAGGATGCTTAACTTAATTGTATCTAAAAAGGCTTTCAGAAGTAGGTTGCCCTTTTTCTAAATAAGGTCATATTCACAGGTTCTTGGGGTTAGAAAATGGACATATCTTTTTTGGGAGCACCAGCCCTGGTTGCACAGTGGTTAGCTTTCGGCTGCTAACCAAAAGGTCAGCAGTTAGAATCTACCAGCCACTCCTTGGAAACCCTATGGGGCAGTTCTCCTCTGTCCTGTAGGGTCACTGTGAGTTGGAAGCGATTTGATGGCAGTGGGTTTTCTGTATTCAGCTCACTATATAGACTTTGAACCAGTATTCCAGTTTTTAACACCTTTCTGTACCACTGACTCATGGATTTCTTTTGGTACCTGAACGGAAGTAGTGTGCTGCGGTTTTTTTTTAAAATATTTTATTGTGTTTTAGGTGAAAGTTTACATAGCAAATTAGGTTCTCATTTAAATCTTTATGCAAATTGTTCTGTGACATTGCTTACAGTTTTCACAATGTGTCAGCATTCTCATTATTTCCATTCTGTTTGTTCTGTTTCCATTGATCTAGCTTCCCTTCCCCTCCTTGCCTTCTCATCTTTGCTTTTGGGTAAAGTTGACTGGCCTCATACAGTTGATTGTTTAAGGGAGCACAGTACTCACAGGTGATATTGTTTATTTTGTAAGCCGATCTATTATTTGGCTGAAAGGTGATCTCCAGAAATAGCTTCAGTTCCAAGTTCTTAGGTTGATAGTCTTGGGGGTTCCTCTAGTTTCTATCCAGTAAGTCTGCCTTTTATAGGAATTTGAATTTTGTTCTACGTTTTTCTCCCATTCTATCAGGACCTTCTATTGTGTCCCTGGTCAGAATGGTCGGTAGTGGTAGCCGGGCACCATCTAGTTCTTCTGGTCTCAGAAGAGGCCGTCGTTCCTGTGGTCTGTTAGTACTGCGGACTAGTTTCTTCTTTGAGTCTTTGGTTTCCTTAATTTTCGTTTGCTCCAGATGAGTAGAGAAGAATAGTTGTATCTTAGATGGCCACTCGCAAGCTTTTCAGACCCCAGATGCTGCTCAACAAACTAGGATGTAGAACTTTGTCTTTTGTGAACTATGTTATGCCAATTAACTAAGTTGTCCCATGAGACTATGGGCTTGCTTCTTAAGGCATTCAAAGCCTTCCAAAATTCAAGGCCTATTTTCTACTATGTTGTTGTTAGCTGCCATCGAGCTGGCCACCAAATCATGGCGACTCCATGTACAGTGGAAATGGAATTGAATGAAATGCCATCTCCATGATCTGTTGCAGATTGGAATGTTGTGATCCATCGGATTTTCACTGATGTTTGGAAGTAGATTGCCAGGCCCTTCTTCCTGGTCTGTCTTACTCAGGAAGGTCTGCTGAAACCTATTCAGCATCTTAGTAACACACCAGCCACCACTGACAGATGGGTGGTAGCTGTGCATGAAAGGTTTCTTGCGTGGAAAGTGAGAATTCTACCACTGAATTTTACCCCAAAATTAGTTGCTGTGGAGTTGATTCTGACTTATGGCAACCGCATGTTGTCAGAGTAGAGCTGTACTCCATAGGGTTTTCATGGAAGGCAAGAATTCTAGAACTGATCTATACTCCTCTGTAAAACCCTCTTTTTTTTTTTTTCCTACCCATTCTTGCCAACACTTATTTTCGGGGTTTTTTTATTTTTTATTTAATTTTTTATTTTATTGTACTTCAGGTGAAGGCTTACAGAACAAATAGTTTCTCATGAAACAGTAGTACACGTGTTGTTTTAT